CGTGCCTCAGTTCTCCTTGGCAGATTTCACCTCTGAGCCCGGGGGACTGGGCAGGAATGAGGACATCAGTGATGCCAAGGAGGACAGCGACTCCCTCCTGGTGGTGATCGAAACCCTCTTTGAGAAGAGCGAGGTGGAGGGAAACGTCTGCCAGAGCCTCGGCGTGGGCCACGCAGAGCTGCAGCAGTGGGAGGAGGCTCTGCTCAGCTTGGGGGCAGAGGAGGAGTCGCCGGCTCAGGGGGCTGGCGAGAGGCTGGGCACCGAGGGGACATCCTGTGTGGAGCAGGTGCTCCTCAGGGAGGATGCTGGGAAGAGCGTGGACTTTCCACACGGCAACGAGGAGAACGGCGCTGTGGCTCCTTTGCAGCACTGCTGGGCAGCTAATTCAGTGCCCCAGTCCCCACGACAGCCCCTGGCCTCGGGTGCACGAGGAGGCCGAGGTGGTGTGGTGTCTGCAGTCTCTGTCAGCTCCCAGGTGAGCTCAGCTCAGGCAGAGCAGCAGGTCCCGTTGGACCCAGCCGGGCTGGTGGGAGGGGCTGTGCTGGGTGTCCCGGTCCCCAGCAGCAAATCTTCTCTAGCACTTCAGCGGGCAAACCAAGTGCTTCGAGCAGAAGTTGCCCCCTCTGCTCCTGTGGATAACGCTGTTCCTGCTGCCCAGAGCCAGCTGGGGTGCCAGCTGCTGGGCGCAAGCTGCCCACCTCCCATGCACTCAAACACATTGGTGGCTCGGTGGCACCACGTCCTGCTCCAGGCAAACCTGCCTTTGGGTCAGAGTGCTCCTCCTGGAGGCTGCCCATCAGAGGCTTGGATGGCCGTAGCTCCAAAACAGCTGGAAGCAGCAGGAACACGCGTGGAGTCCCAGACCCTGCCAGCTGGCAGCCCTGAGAGCCCCCTGGGGCCTGGACTGTGGCCGCCACCCCCCTCCCAGCCTGCTCCTTGCCCTGCCCAGGGCCTGCACGAGTCCTTGTTCTCAGGAGATGGGAACCTCCACGACGAGGAGGCTGCTCTCCCTGCACGAGCACCAGCACCCTTAGGAGCCAGGCAGCTGCCAGGGGATGGTGGCTTCCCCAAACAGCCCCTGACACCCCACCTGGAGCCCAGCTTTTCCTGGGAAGAGGAACAGGCAGTGCTCCAAGAGGCCAAGTGGATCTCGCAGCCCCAGCTGTGGCTCCCCCAGGCTGGGGCAGGTCCAGTGCAACACAGTGGGCTCCTGCTGGGGTCCAGCACGGCTCCCAGCACCCACCACGTGGGCTGTGCCGTGCCGCCGGAGTGCCAGTATGGAAATAGCCTCTCTAGGCGGGAGACCGATTTCCTCGGGGATGCCTCCAGAGCATCCCTTCCCCTGCAGCTGGGCGCCTTGCCTTGCCCCAGGGAGAACCACCCCGGAGCATCCTGCCCCCCGGCGGGCTCGCTTTCGAGGTGCTCAGCGGCTGCCCCTGGGAAGGGGGGTGCAGGAGCGCCCCTGTGCTCGGAGCACGGCCCTGGCTGCCCGCTGGGGCCCTCGGCGGGTGGGCAGCAGCTCTGTGCCTGTGACATCCAGCCCAAGGTGAGGTGTGAGGGCTGCAGGACCTGAGGGGTGCCCTGGCTCTCGGGGAGGGAGCGAGGGGAGCTGTCAGGGGCTGCGGGCACGCTGGCCTTTGTGGGCAGCCTGCTGTGAGACATCACTGTGAACTGGGAGCCACGTTTTGGGAAGCCACCAGCAGCTGTGGGCTCTTCTCATACCTGCAAATGGTGCCCTGTGCTCCCTGGTCACTCAGCAGTTTGTCTTCCAGTGCTATCAGGCAGTCAAAAGTGCAGTGGTTTGGACTTTTTTTTTTTTTTTCCATGAGAAGTCTTTCAGGGAGATGCAGCCATGCCAGCGTGGAGGTCTGTGGGCTCTGGGGATCCAGGGTAGGACACTGTGCTTGCCTGGCCCATGTGCTTGGGGCAGCCTCTTGCAGGTGGACCTGCTGCCTCACAGGTAGCACTGCAGGTAGCACTGAATGGCTGTTTCTTGACTCAGTGTGATCTCCTCATCGCCTGTGGGTGTGGACCACCTTTGCCACATTGCTGTTCAGTCCCCTGCATCATCTCCACCTGCTCGAGTCCCTCTGCTCCCTCCCTCCTGTGCTCTGCATCTCCTCCAGAGCCCCTGGTGACCCAGTTTAATAGAAATGGGATGTTACCAAGCACTTTGAGAAGCTCAGCAGCACTGAAGTGTCTCAGTGGGAGGTGGTAGGAGCAGAGGCATCCTGGCGGTTGGGCTCTCCAGCAGCCCTCTTGGGGAATTTGGGAGAGGTGAGTACCAGGCTGTTGTGACCTTTCTGGGATGCAGAAGGTGCTCTTGTCAGTGGCTCGTCCTTGCCTTCCTCTCCTGCACCTTGCAGTGCCACTGGACCGAGGAACGACGGGGTTCCTCCTCTGGCTTTGCCAAAGCAGTAGAAAGAAGGGCAGGGAGGGATGCAGTGACCACAGGCTGCTCTCCAGACTCACTTTGTGCCCCTCAAAGTGCTGTCCTGGAGCCCACCACAACCACTTTGTTGAATTCCCTTTATTTTCTGTTTTTTGAACCTAATGTGAATTCATTACCTTTCTTTTCCCACCATGGGGCATGTTCTCCCAGATCCGTCAGGGAAACCTGCAGAAGCAGCAATAATAAGGGAGGGTGTATTCAATTTGAGACCACACTGAAGTGCAGCATTGTGTCAGAGAGAGCAAAGTGCCTGGGGACCTTCGCATCTTCCCCCGTGCACCCATCACCCTGGGCTTCACATCTGCCTCTCACACCACTACTAAGCATTTACCAAGCAAATTAAATCAGTAATTAGTGCAGGGCCAGCAGCACTGGCAACGTGTCCTGGTGTGGAGTGGTGGTGTTTCCCTGGTTCTCGTCCTTTACGTCCTGCTTTGCCTCACTGTGCCAGGGCTGCTGGGGCTCTGGAAAGGTCAAGCTCCTGTCTGCAGGCTGGGGGCAGAGGGGTGCTGAAATGCACCAAAGTGGCCTGGAGGAGCACTTAGGACAGGGCAAGGAGGTGGCTCACCGGACCCAAAAAGCAGCAGGATGGAGTGTGCTCACCAGCCTCTGCTGTCCTGGCACCGGTGAGATGATGTGAAACACTGCCCAGGGTGCCAAGGGCACAGGCTCCAAGGGTCATCTTGGAGAGGGGGCACCCGCCAGGCTCTGCTGCCTGGGGCCCTGACAGACCCCCTGGTGCTCTGTGACTGCTGTCTGATCTCTTCATACCTTGTGGCTGTGCACACAAAGTCTCTTTTGGTGGCAGCATCTCATTTTACGCCCTGTGATTTCTTTGTGCTGCTGTGGGCAGCCGGATGATGCTGAGGAGAAAAGAGACGTCCTGAGACTCATCCCCCCCACCACCCCTCTGTGTTTGATTGTGTATTAAAAGGCGATTTGCTTTGTGTGGTGGTGATGTTTGTTTTGACCTGAAACCGTGTCTGTTTCCTCCATTTCCTCCTCGATGGGAAAGCCTGGCCCTGGTGCGGGGTGTGTGACACTCCAGTGGTCTCCAGCCCCTGTGGGCACGTGCAGCAGAGTGGTGTGACAGTGTCCCCCTGTCGCACCCCCAAACTGCCCTATGGGGTGCTGGGGGGCTCACAGCTGGTTACACTCGATGCTCACACACGCACACAGAGGTTCCCGGTGTCACTGCCACGCAGGGACACATAGGAGCACTCCCTCGGTCACATCGACAGCCACCCTGCCTGCCACCGGGACTGCGGTGTCACCGGTGCTCCCACCCCTCACCCGTGTGGGCGGGGGGCTCGCTACCCCAACCCCGCCACTTCCCCTCAGCCTCCA